TGAGTTAAAATTTAAGATAAGAAAAGGGATCTCTTCACCTCAGTTTTATTTAGGCTACTTTATTATTCTATATTGTACAGCTGTTTGGGTTTGGCTTGTGGCTGTTGAGCTTCACTGAGTTTTTAATCTTTAGATTTGACTTTACATTCCTTTAAACAATACAAATATTTAGCTATAACATTTATTTGTGTAGCATGGTTAACTACATACTAGAATTAACACTGAATGCTATCAGCTTTGTTAGATTCTGAGAAAAGCTCAAACAAGTTAACAATGAAACTTCTATCATATATGAATATCTAGGATATTATATATTCGATAGAAGTTCATATGCCAACGAGCTTGGTCTATTTCTAATCCAAAGATTAATTCTTAATTTTAAGATAATTAAATTTAATAGCAAAGGTTTATTTATTGAATCAGAAGTTAGGAATCTTTGCTTATTCAATAACCAAAAATATATACACCATTCTGTGTTTTATTTCAAAGAAGAGTCAGGTTTTTAAAGTTAAGAATTTATTACTAACACTTTTAAAAATGACAGTTTGAAATGACTATTTAGAAATGACAAGTTTTAACAGACAATTTGATATTAAAACTTGTTTTAAAAAGCAAACCTGTGACTGAGTGGAAGCTAAATGAAATGCGAGGTTTTTGGATGCGTGAATGAATCTCAGAAGGTTTCTTTCAGCGAGAGAAGCGTTCTGGGTGAAAAGTTGGTTTTGCAGCTAGTCGTTTCTTAGAAAGAACAGCATACAGACGCAATCTGTCAAAAGTGTCTACCTCACCCAGATCAGGAGACCCTCTTCTGGATCCGAGATGTCAGGTGGAGATGATGCCCTCCGGGCACGAGGTTGGTAGAAAGAACTTGGTGCGACCAAATCGGTCCTGAGACGTCTCCGTGGGTCACACGACTGATGGAACTATTTGTGTCTCAAATAGATAACTCTGAAGGAGATTTGCGTCAGCTGGTTACAGTTGCATTTATTCGAAGCAAGTCTATCGGCGTGACAGAATGCTTAGTAGAGACTTGGGCGACTGTCCCTCATCTCCTGGTATGGTTCAAGAACTGAACTTACAGCAGCCGGATTTGGTTTTAACAAAACCCTCAGAACATGCCCTCTCAGCATCAGGAAGCTTGATCATGAAGTAAAGACATGTGAGATGGTTTCAACTTTACCCTGGATACTCTCTGCGTGTGGTGGTTAAACGTGCAAGATGACCTTCTGGTTTACTGAACACACATTACGGATTATCATAAATGATTATATTGTTACCCAAAGCATAATAAGTCATTTCAGTAATTAAAATACATTCATACTGAACCAATAGATTATTTATGATGATTGTAATGAACAGTAATAAAGTCAAGAGTTTATTAAAATTATTATTAGTTTCCTTCATCTTGGGATGGAACAGCAGCAGATAAAGATGTTGTTTCAGCAGACATCACGGCTCCTGGCGGGGTAATCTGTGGAGCAAAGTTACAGTTCGACCCAGCTTGACCCAGCTGGGAAAATGTGACCTTTGTCACAAATTAGAGGCCATTCATGATGCTACATTTGATATTGGGGTGACAAATGGAATCAAAAAGCAGCTGGTGCCTCCTATTATTTATGTTATACTGTACATTGTCATTTTTTTGTCTTTCTTGTTTAGTTTATTTTCTGTGTTATGTAAAATTAAACATATTAAAATGTTGGAAAAGCCTAAATGTTACATTAAAACTGATCCACAACATTTTCCATAGTTTAAAACAAACACAAGAATTAAACAAAATAAAATATTGTTATTTAGAGCCAGAATGAACAACGGGGCAGTGAACTGAGCAGACTGCTCCTCCTCATGAAACTGGTCAAGTTTCTAATCCAACAATATCTGAAATCAATATTAAAGCTCCAGTTTAAAGTTTAACAAACTATCTGTTGTTACTTTAATGGGCTCGTTTCCACGTCACAGATAGCAACAGCGTAATCAAATATCAGCAAGCACACAAACGCTGGCTGATTTAGTTTGTTGTTTGGTCCTTTCCTGGTGTAGGAATGGCATACGTATTTATTTTGGGTACTTTTAAAGCTCAATATACTACGCTACATTTGACCAATAAGATATGAATTCCTACATAAATACGGAAATCCAATCTGATTGATTTTTGAATGTCTAATTTCCCTCTGGGATTAATAAAATATTTTTGATTTGATTTGATTGATTAACCAGAAGATTTAGAATCCTTTGTTCATTCAGGGATTGTAAGACACTTCGTATCAATTCAGACAGAGTCAAGTTTATAAAAAGTAAGAAATTTATTTTCATAACAATTAAAAACATGACAACTAGGAACACTTTATGTGATGAATGAATCTAAGTGGATGGAATGTGAGGTGTGATGATGTGTGAATGTGATGTTATCAGAACCCTCGTACCTGAAGAAACTGAGTTCTGAGTGGGAGTGAATTTGGTCTGCTATAACTATAGTGATGGTTTATAAAACCACATCAGACACAATCTGTTGAGTCTATGTACACTCTCGGAGACCCCCGTGGTAGATCCGGAATGTGTTGAAGTCGGGGACCCCAAAGGTACCGAAGTCCGTAGAAGAAACTGCAGTGCCGACTAGACCAGTCTCGAGATGTCTCCAGGTCACGACGCGTAGTTATTTGCGTCTATGGAGGACACTTAAGGACTCGAAGCTGGTTCAGTTTGCGGTATCAGCTGTAGCATGCAACAGGTTTTGACAGCTTGTCAAAAGGTGCGATGGGAGCAGAGTTTCCCTCTGATGGCCAGTCAGAGTTAGGCTGAACTGAATTCCTCAGGAAGTGATGCTGTTTAAATAATGGCCATATTTTGGTTTACTGATAAATCAGAACTTGCCCTATGCCCTATAAAGGGGTTTTGCCAACAAACTCAGATACACACCTTCCTCAGATATGAAGATGCTGATTTTGAGGATAAGAAAATATATATGTGCAGTGACGTTAACTTGCATCATGGAGATATGGTAAGTGTGTCTTGTCCAGTCAGTGCGCTGATTAAATATATGGGTCATATATTCATTTCATCCTTGTTAATCTTTCAATGTAATAATAATAATATTCATTTCAACTTCAGTAATGTAAGCACAGATTAATCAAAACATTTCATTTAACCATATTGTCCATTTCATCATATGATTATATGATTAGTTACTCATATTATTCATCCGTCTTGTTCTGTGAATAGAAACCAGTCTTAGATAAGAGTGAGCTTGCGAGGGACCTTGGCCAAGCAACAGTATCTTTTGTCACGAAGTGCTGCGGAGTGGAGCGGAGCTAAGGCGAGGATCCAGACCGGGGATGAAGCAGGCAGACAGGTAAGATTTACTTAACGGGTTTATTAGGACGCACGCTGGACAATGAAGCAATGACACCACAAGGAACACAGAACAGAAGGGGTTTAAATACATGAGGAGCGGGAGCTATGGTGATTGGGAAACAAGAGGTAGGTGGGAGCAATTAATGGAAACACAGACTACAACCTAGGAGAAGACAGGACAGGGTGTGACAGTACCCCCCCCCCCCCCCCCCTCAAAGGGCAGATCCCAGATGCCCACAGGAACCAGGAGCAGGGCGGGGGGAGGGGGACCCGGAGGGAGGGCCCAGAGGACGATGGAGAAGCGGCAGGGATCAGCAGAGTCCGGGAGCCGACGCCTGCGGCAGATGAGGCGACGGGCCCTTGGAGGCCGGCGGAGGAGGCGACGGGCCCTTGGAGGCCGGCGCCTGCGGCAGACGAGGAGGCGACGGGCCCTTGGAGGCCGGCGCCTGCGGCAGATGAGGAGGCGACGGACCCTTGGAGGCCGGTGCCTGCGGCAGAAGAGGAGGCGATGGGCCCTTGGAGGCCGGTGCCTGCGGCAGAAGAGGAGGCGATGGGCCCTTGGAGGCCGGTGCCTGCGGCAGATGAGGAGGCGATGGGCCCTTGGGGGCCTGCGTCTACGATAGAGGAGCCCTGCAGGCTGGGCCGGTGACAAAGTCTCTGCAGGCTGGGCCGGTGACAAAGTCTCTGCAGGCTGGGCCGGAGCGACCTCCAGAACCACCATCGGAACCGGAGACGGTGGAGATGCTGGACCGGAAGGAGCGTCGACCTCTGGAGTGCAGAGAGCATCCTCAGACGAGGCAACTTCAGAGGAGGCGACGTCATCAGACGAGGCGACGTCATCAGAGGAGCCGACTTCAGAGGAGCCGACTTGGGAGGCAACGTCATCAGACGAGCCGACTTCAGAGGAGGCGACTTCATCAGACGAGCCGACTTCAGAGGAGGCGACGTCATCAGACGAGCCGACCTCAGAGGAGGCGACGTCATCAGACGAGCCAACCGCAGAGGAGACGTCAGACAAGCTGTCGACTTCAGATGAGCCGACTTCAGACACGTCGACTTCAGAGGAGGAGACGACGTCATCAAACGAGCCGACTTCAGAGGAGGAGGCGACGTCGTCAGACGAGCCGACTTCGGAGTAGGAGGCGACGTCGTCAGACGAGCCGACTTCAGAGGGGGCGGCGACGTCCTCAGACGAGCCGACTTCAGAGGGGGTGGCGACATCGTCAGACGAGCCGACTTCGGAGGAGGAGGCGACGTCGTCAGATGAACCGACTTCGGAGGAGGAGGCAACGTCATCAGACGAGCCGACTTCAGAGGAGGAGGAGACGTCATCAGACGAGCCGACTTCAGAGGAGGAGGTGACGTCCTCAGACAAGCCGACTTCAGAGGAGGAGGCGACGTCGTCAGACGAGCCGACCTCGGAGGAGGAGGCGACGTCGTCAGACAAGCCGACTTCAGAGGGGGCGGCGACGTCCTCAGACGAGCCGACTTCGGAGGAGGAGGCGACATCGTCAGACAAGCCGACTTCGGAGGAGGAGGCGACATCCTCAGACGAGCTGACTTCGGAGGAGGAGGCGACATCCTCAGACGAGCCGACGTCCTCAGACGAGCCGACTTCAGAGGAGGAGGCGACATCCTCAGATGAGCCGACGTCCTCAGACGAGCCGACTTCAGAGGAGGAGGCGACGTCGTCAGACGAGCCAACTTCAGAGGAGGAGGCGACGTCATCAGACGAGCCGACTTCGGAGGAGACGCCTTCGGACACGTCGACTTCAGAGGAGACGACGTCGGCCACGTCGATTTCAGAGGAGACGACTTCGGACACGTCGACTTCAGAGGAGATGACTTCGGACACGTCGACTTCAGAGGAGACTACTTCAGACACGTCGACTTCAGAGCAGGAACGGGCGTCGACTTCAGAACAGGAACGGGCGTCGACTTCAGAACAGGAAAGGGCGTCGACCACCATCGACTTCCGGTCCGGGGGCGTCGGCCTCGGGTCCGGGGACGTCGACTTCTGGTCCTTCGATTTTCGGACCGTCGACCTCTGGACCGGAACCGGAACCGTCTGCTTCTGGCCCGGAGGAGTCGGCTTCTGGTCCCTCGACTTCTGGACCGCCGAGTTTTGGACTGGATCTGGTACCGTCTGCTTCCGGGTCGGTACCCTCTGCCTCTGGGCCCGCTCCGTCAGCTTATGGGCCGGTACCGTCTGCTTCTGGACCCGATCCGTCAGCTTCTGGGCCGGTGGCAGAGCCGCTGCTAGGAGAGCTTGGAGCGATGAGGAGAGGCGGGAGGTCAGCTCGTCCAGCTCTAGCTCCCCGAGGCTGAGCGTCCAACGGAGCTGGGCCAGTTCAGCCCGCCGACCGGCGAGCTCCGCTGGGTGAACCCCGCGCTCGCTCCTCTGGCCCTGAGACGAGGAGGATAGAGCATCCAGGTGAGACTCCTGGCGGCTGATGGGCTTGCGGAACCGGCCGAGCTCCGCCCGTTGCTCTATCAGCCGGGCTGCGATTGCTGCTCCTTCCTCTGCAACCGACGGAGGCGCCGGTTCGGCAGGAGACGGGACTGGTGGTCTGGCCGTGGGCGTGTCCGAACAGCCGCGCCGGGCTGGGGCAGAAGCGGGCTCACAGCTCCGTCCAGAAGCGCAGGGCTGCGGTGGCTTCCGGCGTCTCTCCCCATGCCGTGGACCGACTCCGGGGAAGCAGATCGCCAGCCTCTTGCCCTCATAGCTGGAGCGATCCAGGAGCGTCTCCCCATCCCAACTCCCGTCCGGTTCCGGAAGGGCAGCGAGGAACGCCAAGGTTGACAGTCGGGGACGCCGGCGGCGGTGAGGCGGAGCTGGGGCTGGAGAGGGAGAAGCCGGCTGGTGGGTCGGGGTAAGCCACTGGAGCAGGTTCTCCCACGGAAGAATTTCCCCGCTGGATCCTGTAATAGTGGGTGGTGTCATTCTGTCACGACGTGCTGCGGAGTGGAGCGGAGCTAAGGCGAGGATCCAGACCGGGGATGAAGCAGGCAGACAGGTAAGATTTACTTAACGGGTTTATTAGGACGCACGCTGAACAATGAAACAATGACACCACAAGAAACACAGAACAGAAGGGGTTTAAATACACGAGGAGCGGGAGCTATGGTGAATGGGAAACAAGAGGCAGGTGGGAGCAATTAACGGAGACACAGAGTACGACCTAGGAGAAGACAGGACAGGGTGTGACATCTTTCTTGCAGATTGAAAGCACCAGTTAAGACTTATGTCTCCAAATGGCCAAATACTGAAGAGGTCAAACTGTAGGTGAAAAACTGACCATTCCTGGAGGCTACATTGGTCTTGCTGTCAAAGCAGCTCAGTTTATTTATTGTTATTGGCAAATGCAATAAAATAATGTTTTCTTTTATGGTTCAGATGAAACATTAAAAAAAGCATATGAGAAAACATAAAAAATAGAACAAGAATAGGATATTGCAATTAATTGTTGTTGCAATTAATTGTAGTACACAAGTGTGCAAATAATTGCCGAATTGAGACAGGGAGCATTGCATCATCGATCGTAATGCATACCGGGATGCTGGTCGCTGTGAAACTTTTTTCAAAAACCTTTATTAGCAACTTTCAAACCAACAACAAAGTAATTATTGGAATTAAATTTTACTTCATTGCTGCTTTGTCTAAAACATTAAGAGCATCAACTAATCCTCCTAAAATGAACCAATTTCATTAGAAAGTACATATTTTCAGAAAAGGAACTGAGCCTGTTCTCCTGCAGCAATGACTTGTGGGTAATACCCTTGCCCGAGGTCTGCATCACTGCGGACTTGGGTGAAGTGCAGATTAAGGGTGCAATGGGGGCGTGGCCAACTTCCGCACTTGAGTATCGGGACACCCTACACACTCGCACCCCTAGCCAGGAACGTGCAATTGAAGGGTGCGGGGATTGGGCCTTAGACCCGCTCCCCTGTATTTTAGACCTGATTTTTATGGTTATATTACATGAAACCACCAATATGTTTCGACACCTGTGTATCTTTTAATTCATTTACAACATTTCAACGGATATTTCCAGAGATTAATGGCAAAAACTACACATTGTCACTTTAACAGTTCTTGAGAAAAATGTTCACTGATCCAAATTCCACAAGTCTGAGGGATGAGCTTAAAAATTCGATTGAGAATATTAATTTCTCCTTCTTTTCTTACACACTTACCAAAATAACATTTAAGTGGTTTATGGGGAGTTTTCAGTTTTCCAGTACCTCCTACTGGTGATGATTTACACACATATTAACAGAAAACACTTTATTGTTATGGTTTTTTCACTCACCGATTTATGTATTTGTTTGTTAAAAGTGTGGTTAACTTGTTAAATCAATACATTTGCAGTGGTCTATAATAGGAATGAATGCCTTCTAAGTTGTATTATGAGGAAACAAAGCTCCGGTGCACCTGTTTCGGGATGTAGAACTCAGCCCCATCAGAGCTGAGCTACAGATGATATTTGGAGATCTCTCATCTGATTGGCTAAAAGCAACTTCATTCTACCAATGACTCTGTTTCCTCTGCAACGTTGATGTTTTATCTCTACAAACAACACTAGCCTGAAGGTGTTCTATCGTGCGGTGGAGTTGCTAATGCTAGCGATTAGCTTCTACTAGCCGAGACGTTCTCAGCTGTTTCCTGGATGCGAAACCAACGACAGCCTTCCCCGTTGTCAGTCAAGATGGGTGAGTCCATGAACGTTAAGTGACAGTGTGACATAGATCTGTCAAGCTTTTCAAGTCCTAGAATTTCATCATCTATTTTCCATCAGAAGCTAATGCTAATGACAAGTGTAGGAAACTTTTTTCATGTTCAGCCTGCATGAAAAACCCAGAGTGACCAATTATGATCAGAAATAAGATTTAAAAATGTTTTTTTAATGAACCGCATCTTTAAAAGCTGCATTAGAAAAAATGGAAATGCTTTCAGAAAATCTTCAGGAACTGGTATTTCTCGCAACATTTTTATAATTGTTCAGTTATCCTCAATTATTTAACTTCCCAGCCTCCACAATGTTACTGTTCTACAACCAATTGCAGTTTTAGTTTCAGGCATTTTAACAAATAAGCATATTTTGATTTTCAGCTTGTAAATCCAGCAGTTGGTTTCAAGCACCCATAAAAACCCTGTTATGAGGATGTCATAACTGGAATAACCAGAGGGCCTCATGTGAAAATCCTTCAGGTCTACATTTGTTACATCTGCCCTGTGGAGTATTTTATTAATACAGGACTGTTCAGATGTAGCTCTGACCAAGCTGTCAGCTCAGGTTCAGATTTACTCACAGCTGCAGATTCTGGAGCCACTTTTCATTTAATCAAAAGTAAAAAAGATCAAGGAGGCTTATGAATAAAACATACCACTTAAAAATGTCTATTGCATTATTAGAATGGTTATGTGTGAAATACTGGTAATAATGGTTTAAAGTGGAAATGTTCAGGTTAATAACTAAATAGCAAATGAACAGTGGCGGCTGGTGAAAAATATTTTTGGTGGGGCTGTGCTATTTTTATTTTTATTTTAAACAAACTTGTGCTTTCTGAGCTTTGTGCACAACTTCACTATTTCCTGAATTAAGCACAGCTCTTTTATTTCCTGTCTTACATCATTGGACAAACTGATTCATCCAGGTGTGTCTGACTATTGGCACGCTGCCTTGCGGACCAAGGTTGAAAAATACTGCATTAAATTGCACATAAAATAACACGACCATAAATGGTAAATAGGCAATGCAAGAGGCAAGTAACAAAAACATTTTGTTTAATTTCAACATTTGAGTGAACACGAAAAATTATGAGCAGGTCACTGTTACAATAATGGTAGTAAACACTACTTAGACAAAATGCCAGAAATTTACACTGTTAAATATTTCTGGAGTGTTGTGCCAAGGTCAACTTTATACAAAGATCAAGAGGATGCATTTGGGTGTGTGTGATACCTCATTTGTACAGAAATTTTGCCCTTTTGTCCTTCTGAGTGGCAAAGCTCTCGATTAGCTTTTTATTGAAGTCAGGAATGTTTGTGACAAGCTTTTTTTTCCATGGAGAGCATGGCAAGAGCATTCAGCCCATCCTGTGTCATGGTGTTCCTCAAGGAAAGTCTTAATCCTCTTTAAAGTAGATAAATAAAAAAAACAACAGATAAGTACATAGGAAACACTTTCATAGGAAATAATGTCATCAGTATCCTCTTACAAATGTCATATTTCCCAGTTTTGGGGACAATAAAACATTTCTGATTCTCAATCAGATGTTTTTACATTTGAGGTAAAAACATCTAATTGAGAATCAGAAATGTTTAATTGTCCCAAAAGCTGGGAAATTTGTTTGCTGCAGCAGAAGTGTAACAAGTAAAATGGAATCAGATTGATGTATGTACAAATTTACATGAAATACACATTTACATGATTAAATATGTATAATAAGTATGTGTGTTGAAATGAGTTTTTACAGTTATTGCACATTAAACATGTTATTAAACAAATGTCCCGGTTTGTGGGACAACCAAGGACTTCTGATTCTGATTGTCTTGTTCACAGAAATGTAATGTACAGCTTACCTCTGCACCCAGCTGCTGTTGTTCCCTGCATGGCAACGTTAGCTCTGCTACCTAGCATGGCTAGCTTCACCGTGTTGTTGTCCATGTTTGCCCGGGATGACTCGTGTTTCTTCACCTTCTCAGAAAAATGTTTCATGTCCGTAACTCCTGACTCATTCATGCCTTATCTGTCCCAGCTGTTTTGAATAACAAACACGGAAAGCAAAATAACGCATTAGCGTGATTGCATCCAGCTAGCCAAGCCTTCCTGGTGTACCAATTTCGGGAGAAGCCTAGTGTGTACAGTTTACCTCTCTCCTTCTCCTGCTGGCTTATCTTTACGTCGGGCTGATCTGGTCCAAGCTCTTTAATTGACATTAAGTTTTTCCACCATAGTTCTCCTCTCGAACGGATACTGGAGAAGAGACTGAACTGAATTCAGTGGCTGCTGAGATCCGGTATCCATGCTGGTTGCAGTCACTGGCGGCGTCCATGTTACATCTGCGTCACGACCAAAAACAACTCTGCCAAGTTCTACCGAACACCAACGAAACCTTTGGCGGTAGCTCCATCGCCCATCATGCTTCTGAAACGTTCTGAAACAACGTCGACGCTGATTGGATACATTCCCATTCCTACCCTTTGATATTCTTGTCAGCAATTGGACAGCTGGTCTCGTCCTGTTTGGGCGATTGAAAAACAGCACACAGCCTCCACCGCTCGGCAGAGACCGGCAGAGATCGGCAGAGAACGGCAGAGACCAATATAGATATATATATGATTTATTTTTGTTACAAAACACACAATTAACTTAGAATATGTGATTATTGTTAATTTTATTTATTTATTTTTTTTAATAAAAATTAAAAACACGGAAAAACTGGGAGGGCGGCGCCCTATCGCCCTCTACTGGCCAGCCGCCACTGCAAATGAAGGTAGAAAAACATACATTTCCAAATCACTTGTATTCACAATAAAGCTATAGAAACCTTCCAATAGGTACATACAGGTGAAACTCAAAAGATTAGAATATGGGGGGGAAGTTAATTTATTTCACTCATTCAAATTAAAAGCCTATCAGCGTATCAAATCCAAGGGAGAAACAGCATGTTTTACAGAGTTAATAAAATCCCAAAGGCAGTCCAACGTAAGTGGCTCGACCTGACTAAAAGTAGCTGAACACGGACTAGAAAGCATCTGACAGGGGACTAACGGAATCTGGGCTTTGATATTGACTATTTTGTTCACAAAAAAACTGAAAAATGCTTTGCTAGACATCACAGAGGGTCCAATACCTGGTAGGTGAATATTGAGGATGTTATCAATTAAGTTAAAAAGCATCCGTGGCCTGTGATGCGCTGAGAGTATCACGTTTGAGAAATACACCCTCCTAGCATCTCTCACAGCCTCCTGATAGTCACAAAGACAGTCTCTTAACACCTGAAAAGAGCTCAGTAACCTGTACTTCTTCCACATCCTTTCTGCTAGTCGACATTTCTGCCTTAATAAACGTGTATAGTCGTTCAGCCATGGCTCCAATCTGGCCCTGGGAAGCCTAGACTTCAGTGAAGTGACACAATCCAAGACACTGCTACAGGTAGCATGGAGCCAGGAGCTTAGTGCTTTCACATCTAATAAGGCAGAACTAGGAGGTGTAGGAACGTCATCAAGGGCAATAGAGAAACGAGCAGCAGTTGAAGGGTTATTCACTCGAACTTGCCGAGGGTGCAGAGAGGCGCCCACCGTCACATCAGACATATCAGACAGAAACAACGTAAACAACACAGGCATGTGGTCTGAAAAAATTGCATCACAAATCACTAAGTCGGATACCAACCCACCACATGTCAAGAGTATGTTCATGATCTTTGGTTGGGGCACAAGCATGCTACACCAAATTAAAAGAGTCCACAATTCTCAAGAATTTGTTTACCATTGGTTTGTCAGGGCTACAAGTATGAATATTAAGAAGAAGAAGAAAATATAATTTCTATAGCGCCTCTCAAGATAAAAATCACGAGGCGCTTCACAAAAACAAATCATGTAAAAATATAAAAAAGCATTTAGAAAATGTTTAAAAATATATTTAAAATGAGCAAAGAGAGACAATTGTGATAAAAAAATGTTAAGAAAGAGAGAGAGAATAGGAAAGAGGGAAATCAGTGGTTCCTGAGGAAGGTGGAATAGGTGGGGAGAGCAGAATAAAGAGACTGTGTTGAAGAAGGTCACACAAAAGCCAGCTTGAACAAGTGAGTCTTCAGCTGCTTTTTGAAGGAGACCAATGAGTCCACTGATCTCAGGCTCAGGGGGAGAGAGCTCCAGAGTCTGGGGGCCACAGCAGCAAATGATCTGTCACCTTTGGTCTTTAGCCTGGTGCTGCACAACCAGTAGGCTTTGATCACTGGACCTCAGGGACCTGCTGGTGGTGTAGGGACTAAGACGATCACCAATGTAAAATGGTGCTTGTCCATGTAAGGCCCTATAGACCAGAACCAGGATCTTGAAATGAACCCTGAAGTTGACTGGCAGCCAGTGAAGCTGGAGGAGAAGCGGGGTGATGTGGGTGTGTTTGGAGGACTTGGTCAGAAGCTGAGCACAGGCATTCTGAACCACCTGTAGACGGTTCAGGGAGGTTTTGCTCAGACACGTGAAAAGAGAGTTACAGTAGTCTAAGCGTGAGGAGATGAAGGTGTGGATAACTGTCTCAAGTTCAGAGTGGGACAGAATGGGACTGAGCTTAGCAATGTTCCTGAGATGGAAGAAGGAAGAGCGAACAAGAGAACTGACATGAGAATCCAGGGTGAGAGCTGGGTCAAAGGTCACACCAAGATTCCTGATAGAAGGTTTGGTGTGAAATGCAAGCTGACCAAGAGAGTCTCTGACTTTGGGAACCAGCTTGTCTGGGGCACAGATGAGGATCTCAGTCTTATCTTCATTCAGCTAAAGAAAGCTCCCAGCCATCCAGGTTTTGATACAGTCTAAGCAGGTGTGTAACGGCTTCAGCTTAGACATATCATGGGGCTTAAAGGAGATGTACAGTTGGATGTCATCTGCATAAAGATGGTAGGAGATTCCTTTGAAGGAGCTCAGGATGTGCTGAAGAGGAAGCAGATAGAGGAGGAAGAGCAGAGGCCCCAGCACAGAGCCTTGTGGGACACCATGGGTAAGAGAGGTGGTGGAGGACCTAAACTTGGAGACGGCCACAGAAAAGGAGCGCTCAGAGAGATAAGAGGCGAACCACTCCAGAGCAGATCCTGATAGGCCTACCCAGTCTCTCAGCCTCTCCAGTAGCAGGTGATGGTCAACAGTGTCAAAGGCTGCAGTCAGGTCCAGCAGGACCAGAACAGAACAGTCCCCTGCATCACTGTGAGTCAGAAGGTCATTAGAGACCCTAAGAAGAGCTGTTTCAGTAGAATGAGCTCTACGAAAACCTGACTGGAAGCTATCATAGATGTTATGTTCATCAAGAGCAGCTGTGAGTTGTTTAGCCACAACCTTTTCCAAGATCTTGGAGATGAACGGAAGTTTAGAGATGGGTCTGAAGCTGCTATGGAGAGAGGGGTCGAGACTCGGTTTTTTAAGAAGCGGGTGGATTACAGCGTTCTTAAAGTAAGCAGGGACCTGACCAGAAACCAGAGAAGCATTAATTATAGAGAGCACGCTGGGACCGATGGACTGAAAAGCACTTTTAAACAAAGATGAGGGTAGGATGTCGAGGGGGCATGCAGAGGTCTTAATAGAGTTAACTAGTTTGGTTAACCCAGGCAAAGAAACAGGAGCAAAGCTATCTAGGATGATGGGCCTGGTTGGAGTCGGGAGAGGCAGTGATAAGGCTGAAGGAGAGATGCTAGATCTAACCTTATTGACTTCGTCCCTAAAGAAAGACGGAAAGTTCTCACAGTCTGTAACAGAGTGGATGGAGGCTGTAGGAGAGGCAGGAGAGACGATGCTGCTGATGGTGTTAAACAGCACCTTGGGGTTACCTTTGCTCTGGGACACCAGGTTGGAGAAATAGGAAACCCTTGCATCTCTGACTGCAGAGTTAAAGGATGTCAGAAGATCCTTTAGGTGCAGCAGATGGACGTGGAGATGGGTTTTCTTCCACAAGTGCTCAATTTTTCTGCATTGGCGCTTCAGGCTGCGAAGGCTGTCATTAAACCAGGGAGTAGGGTTCACTGCAGGAACTGATTACAGGGAGGTGGAGTGTACAGTCGGTAAAGACGGCTCTCCCTTGCCCTGCCTCCAACATGCCTACATCTAAATAGGATAGGTTATCCAGAGTTAACTCTGTAGTTATGCTGCTATAGGCTTAGACTGCTGGAGGACACACTGACCACTTTTCACACTCTACTGCTTTCTTCTACAGTCTGCTCTTTAACTGTACTATTTTGTGCAATTTCAGCTGTTAACTTTATTTTCTCTGTGAGTGTTTTTCTCCCCAGAAGAAGCTGCGATGACGTTCTGCTGAGCTGTGGTGGCCTCATGGAGGGGGCCATCGACTAGCACACTGCTGCTAACCACTAATACATTCTCTCTCTCCTGATAATAACTTTTTGTTTTCATTGACTTTTGATGTGCTAATACTAGTTTAATTATAGATCCACTAGGATAAATACAATAAAGTTCATCTTTCACCAAATACAATATTTACTAAGACATCACAATATAACCATAGACACATTACTTGTGTGTGTGTGTGTGTGTGTGTGTGTGTGTGTGTGTGTGTGTGTGTGTGTGTGTGTGTGTGTGTGTGTGTGTGTGTGTGTGTGTGTGTGTGTGTGTGTGTGTGTGTGTGTGTGTGTGTGTGTGTGTGTGTGTGTCTGCCTGCTCTGTCTTCTCGATCCCCAGTGAGTCGTGGAGGATGGCTGCTTATACTGAGCCAGGATTCTCTGGAGGTTTCTTCCTGTTAAAAGGGAGTTTTCCTCTCCACTGTCGCTGCATGCTTGCTTAGTATGAGGATTGCTGTATAGTCACTGACACTAGTCAGTGACTTGATGCAATTTGCTGGGTTCCTTATATAGGAAACATTATTTCTGATTGGCTTAATGAACTGTGAATTGGAATGTTTATTATGTGAAGTGCCTTGAGACGACTCTTGTCGTGATTTGGCGCTATATAAATAAACTTGAATTGAATTGAATTGAATCTGGTTCTGACAGGACAGATGTTGTCCAGAATGGAGAGGCAGTGCTAGTTAAACTGAGAAGTTAAGGAATCTGGGTCGTTATCAGAAGAACAGGGTGGATCAAAAGCAGCAGAAAAATTACTAGCTGTGCTCTCATTAATAAAACGAGAACTAACCATACGGCGAGCAGGAGGTGGGGACGCAGACACTGACAAGTTAAAGAAAATGCAATGGTAATCTGAAATATAAACGTCCTCAGGACAAATTCTGTCAGCATTTAGACTCAGGGTAAAAACAAGGTCTAGAGTGTGCCCCCTGGTGTGTGTGGGGCCAGGAACATGCTTGGTAAAGCCGAAGGAGTCCATAAGGCTGGAGAAATTCATGGCAAAGTGATCAGAGGGATCATCAACGTGGATGTTAAAATCACCAACAATCACCAGTCTGGATAGCTTCACAGTGGAGGATAGAAAGTCACTAAACTGCTGAAGGAAATAACTGTTTGGACCAGGTGGACGATAAACCACAGCACAGTAGAACGGGTCCTTATGCCCGACTTTAATCAGCTGCAGTTCAAAGGAAGCAAAGTGACCAGAGGTTGTAGAGCTACAAGGAAGATGGTCTCTGAAAACAAAAGCTAGGCCTCCACCACGACCAGAACCCCGAGGCTGGATAAGAAAAGAATAGCCACTTGGGCAGAGTTCAATCAGACCAGAATAATCAGATGTTTGCTGCCAAACTTCAGTCAGAAACAGAAAATCCAGGCTCTCTCAGGCTCAAAATAAGTTTTGATAAAAGGATGAACGACTAAGTCCTTCAGGGGTATTTTTGAGTTTAAAAATACTCATGAAATACGTATGTGGAGTAACCAGGTAGGTAGGTTTTAACGTTGCAAATCTGCAACGCCTGCCTCCAGAGGGTTAAAATCGCCTAAAATAAGCAACCTATCATATTTGGGCAGCACTTGTGCTAAAAGCCCAGCAAACTTTGCCAGAAAGTCCTTGTTGTACCCGGGTGGACGGTACACCACCATGCACAGCACGGGGTCATTACGACCAAGTTAAAACAGATGACATTCGAAATGAATTAATTAAAATTAATTAAAAGGAGAGATCACAGGATGGGAGCCAGATATTTTAGCTATCAGGCTCCTCGCTTGTGGAACAAGCGCCCAGCTTTAGTCCATGAGGCAGACACCTTGGAAGTTTCTCAATGCCAAGGAACCTCGCCTTGATGTCTTGTCCCCGCCTTGGTTGCCTAGGAGATATGTCATCAGGATCCGCCAAGACATGTTTCAATGTTCATGTTTTATCGGGCGTGTGTTCTCCGTTTGTTAGCCGTTTAGCTAGCCGAGCAAAGATACACGGGAGATGTCTTGTAGTAGCTTGGTCAAAAATTACCCAGAGTACACAGCAGTATTTTCAAAAGGATAGTGGATCAGAAGCCAGCAGCTACTTCTGGGGCAAATTTTAAGTTTAAAAGTAAGACAACTAATTTAAAATGTTTTTTTTAGATCCAAAGAAGTTATCTATGGTTGGTTGGTAGTTGCAGCTTCAGTGGCTAGTGAAGAGTAACTTACTTATATATTTAATTTAATAAATATATACACAATTTAAAAAGTAAAAGTCTCGTTATATATTTATATTTAAACTAATACATATAAAATATAACGTTATCTCCCATTGTCACGTGACATTATGTGACCGCCGTGGAAGCCACAGTCACGTGATGCAAGTCTGTTCCATTTAACAGTTTTCTTTGACCAAGGAAGGACAGTGTTCTCGTAAGCAAAGCGCCTGGCCTCGCAAGGCCAGCACCTTGACATTGAGAAAAACCCAAAGCCTCCGTTTGCCTGAGTGGTTTATTTTCAGTGTCACTTTCAAAATAAAAGCTGCCAAACCTCACGGTGATTTGTTCGTTGTTTTAGTTTGGTCCATGTGTCTGTGTAAAGTTGTGATGTGAAGATATCTTATTGACAGAGTTCATCCACAATTTCAGGATCACACCTGTCAAGTCTCCCGTTTTGGGCTTGACACTGTTTTAAAAACTATATTTATCGCTTATTCACTCTGTCTTCACGAATTAATATTCACTGAAAATGTCCCTTAAGTTCATTTACGGAGACAACTGTGACAGGTAGAAGGACTACTGCATATAAAACTGTTCACTTGATACTAATTCATATCAGTTGATATAAGAACAGAAATAATGTAAATATGGCAAGAAAATGGTTAGGAGGTTATTATTTGTCATGTTATATTGATGGTTTGCATGTTAGTTAAGAGAACTGCAATCTATGCATCAGCGATCGGCTAATAAGCCTTTTCTGGAATCGATTGGTAGTGTCTCTATTCTCCACTAGGGGGGTTTCGCGCGTTCTCCTCACTGCAATAAACGGCTGTATGAGAGACGCAAGTCATAATCACTCTCGTGATTCTTTTCCCCCTGTTTTCAGGGGTGTAACATTTGGAGGCACCGCTGGGATTCCTGCTTAGATGTCCGGTGTCCATAATCTGCACATCGTAGTCCAAGCCAGCTAAATCCCCCCATACAACCCAGGCAGACTGCAGCGAGGAAATTGTTGCTGTTGAGGCAAACTGGTAGCTGTGTTTTAGCGCATGTTCCTGAGGCCATCCAGAGATCATCGGGGGCTGCCAAACGACTCAGCTAAGTGTCACCTGTGCATGCAAAATTCTTCCTGCCTACTGCCACAATGTCTTCGGTGGAAGAGCTGCGAGAGGAGGTTGTGCGTGAAATGCACACCATGTCCAAAGAGCAACTAGTGTCAATCTGCGAGATCCTGGGCATTGCAGAGAAAATAGATGTTAGCGGAAAAACACGACTGTCACTGCTAACACACATCCAAATATACATTGAGAGAGAAGATATAACAGGACTTGAGGATGAAGGAATGTCAGAACTGTTGTTGCTTAATGATAAGATTGCTGAAGTAATGAAAGAAACAATAGTGGAGACTGAACCAAATGGAAATGATGGGGGTTATTCAGAGCACCGAGAGCAACCAAACACTACAACCTCACTGGTAACCGAGACAGCCAATGCAGTCAACACAGCGGTTAGTTCTCACTCCCAGGCTAATTGCTCTGTCCCTAACTCACCTGTGTCCCGTGCCCCCCAACAACCAAGATCTTACTGGCAGAAAGACTTCAAAATATCGGGCCAGATTGGCGAACCAGGTTAAAAAGACAAACTGACATTTTCCAGTCTTGCTCACCAGATCGAAAATGGACTGAGCAGAGGCTACTCCGAGCTTGACATTGTAGATGCTGTCATCAGAGCTATCTTGCCAGGTCTACAACTACGCAGCTATTTGGAGGGAAAAGCTCAACTCACCCTCCTGACTCTACGCCGCATCCTGCGCTCCCATTTCCAGGAGAAGAGCGCCACCGAACTCTATAAACAACTTGCCTCTGAGGTACAGACCCCAAAAGAGACTGCCCAAAGCTTCCTGATGAGAGTTTTAGATCTAAAGCAGAAAGTCTTATTTGCTTCCCAAGAATCAGAGTCAGGACTCAAATACGACCCAGCTTTAGTCCAGCGTATGTGTTTACACAACATACTCACAGGCATCCAGAGTGACACTGTCAGGATAGATATGCAGCCACTCCTGTTAGATCCTAAGACACCTGATGAACTCCTGTTGGAGAGGTTAAATACGGCTTGTGCCAATGAGGCAGAAAGGAAAAACAAGAAAAGATGTCTAGCATCGCAGACTGCTACAAGTGTGAGCGCAGTACAGTCAGATGATGTGTCGCCAGCGAAGAACCCTGTAAAAGAAGGCAAAGCTAAGATACCACCAGAGCTTTTAACTGAGCTAGCGGAGCTTAAGACAGGTGTAGCCTCCCTGAAAGGTCTCAGTGCAGAGATAGCTCAGATTAAGGAGACACTACAGCAGCCGGTGCCTTGTCCTCAGTCATATGCCCCACCACCAGCTATGCAGTATGATAGAGGCCAGCAGCAACAGCAGTATTATAGCTTCCAGGGCCCCCGTCAACGACCACCACCCCCTCAGTATCCTGTACAGCACTACACAGGTAGTCCAGCCCGTCGTGAGAGGAGGTGACACCGTTGCCAGCAGGGTGGAGTCAACGAACACTGCACACACTGCTACCTCTGCGGGAGTGAAGAACACTTTCAGGCTGGATGTAGAAGCAGAGGTATGGGAACATATAAAGAGAAACATTTAAACCAGCTATGGTTACCACCGAGGGGCGAGTGTTAACCATGCCCATCATCCACAAGTCCCAACATTGCTCCAACTGTAAACAAGAAAAGTCAGGCATGAGACGGTGTCCAGCATGTAAAAATGCACTTTATTGTTCAAAAGCATGCCAGAAACGACACTGGAGACAACATAAGAGACAATGCACTGGCTTAAAGACTAACAAAGACAATGAGACTGTTCAGGTACCACTGCCGCAAACTCATGTAAGCATTCCTCACAAAGTCACATCTCTGGTGGGCAGGCAATGTCTGGTTGAGTGTCTCTTGGACGGCCACAGGCTTCAAGCTCTATGGGACACAGGCTCACAGGTATCAATCATCGATGAGAAATGGAAAGAGAACTATCTGCCACACACAGAGCTGAGAGATGTAGCAGATATCATGGACACATCTGAACTCACCCTGACTGCAGCAAATGGGACCAACATGCCATACCTTGGGTGGGTTGAGACAATGTTCGAACTTGTTTCCGGAACTGAACGAACGGAGAAATTGACCATCCCCATGTTGGTAATGAAAGGTTTTCAGCTCACATGCCCTATTATAGGTTACAACGTCATTGACTACATTGTGAATGAGGCTGACCAAGCTAAACTGTACAGCACAGTGAGGAAAGCATTTCCCAGTCTCAACAGATACAAAGTGAAAGCGTTTATCCAGGCTGTTAGCGCAGATACAGTTAACGAGTATAACGTGATGACAACGAAAGACTGTATTACTGTACCTAAACAAAGTCACGTGCATGTTGAGGGTCGTATAGCAGCAGGGCCATTTAAACAGGACATGGTCATGATATTTGAGCCAGACTTAAACCCTCAGTGGCCAGACAATCTTGAGTTTTTTGACACTTTGGTTAACGTTAAAAAGGGTGCCTCACCGGTCATAACACTCGGTGTCTCTAACCCCACTGACCATGAAATTGTCATTCCAGGCCGTACGTTAGTTGGCTCGGTCCAGATTATTACAGCTGTTTTACCTGCCCAGATGTTTGAAAAAGCCACATCTGTAGCTACTGTTAACCAGACAAACACACAAGCTCAGTGTAGCTCCAGTGAAGAGTGGGACCCGCCTGTGGATCTTAGCCACCTGGGTGAAGAACAGGGAGTATTGGCGAAACAGATGCTCAGAGAGTAATGTCATTCTTTCTCTAGAACAGACAATGATATAGGCTGTAATGAAAAACTGAAAATGACCATCTCACTCAAAAACAACGAACCAGTCAAACGCACATACCTGTCTGTGCTACGGCCGCTCTACCAAGAGATGAAAAGTTACCTACATGACTTAATAGCACAAGGCTGGGTCAGAGAGTCAGACTCATCATACTCCTCACCAGTCGTTTGTGTTAGAAAAAAGATGGTACCTTAAGACTGTGCATAGACTACAGAGACCTGAATCGGAAAACGCCAACCCATTCCACGCGTCCAGGACATTATGGACAGTTTGGGTGGAAGTTCCTGGTTTTCGCTTTTAGATCAGGGAAAAGCGTACCACCAGGGGTTCATGTCAGAAGGAAGTCGTCCACTCACTGCCTTTGTGACCCCCTGGGGATTATATGAGTGGATCCGAATCCCCATTGGACTCATGAATGCCCCTGCAGCATTTCAGCGCTGTATGGAAGAGTGCCTGGATGGGCTGCGCGACAACATCTGCATCCCCTATCTGGATGACACATTAGTCTACAGCAAGACGTTCAAAGGTCACTTGGAGGATGTGAGAAAAGTGCTCCAGAGATTGAGAGGTTTTGGCATAAAGCTTAAGCCAAGTAAGTGTGACATGTTTAAGCCTGAGGTGCGCTATTTGGGCAGAATAGTGTCTGCAGAGGGCAGCAAAGTGGATCCTGCAGACTTTGAAGCAGTCAAAGCACTCAAAGGTATAAAACCACAAAATATTGGTCAGCTCAGAAAAATGTTAGGTCTTCTCTCCTACTACAGACAATACATAAGAGACTTCTCCAGAAGAGCAGGTTGTTTGTATGAACTGTTAAAAGCTGACAAGACCAAAAAGGACTCAGACACCACAAGAGAACCAAAGGCAAAACCAAAGAGAGCCAGTCAAGTTGTGCCCTCCTCAAAACCAATTGTGTGGACTGACCAGCATCAAGGTGCACTTGAGGAACTAATAGACTGTTTGCTTCACCCACCGGTGCTGGGATTCCCAGATTTCACACAGCCGTTCATCTTACACACAGATGCCTCACACAAGGGGTTAGGTGCCGTCCTGTACCAGAGACAAGATGGTAAGCTGCGAGTTATTGCTTATGGCTCCCGTACTCTAACAGCAGCTGAAAAAAACTACCACTTCCATGCAGGAAAACTAGAATTTTTAGCATTGTAGTGGGCTATCACTGACAAATTCAGAGACTATTTGTACTATGCCCCAACATTTACTGTCTATAGCGATAACAACCCGCTAACATACATTTTGTCAACAGCCAAACTGAATGCCACCACATCAAGATGGGTCGCTGAGCTCTCTGATTTTCACTTCACCATTAAGTACAAACCAGGAAAGGAAAACAGTGACGCAGATGCTTTATCAAGAATGCCACTTGATGTAGAAACCTTGATGAGAGACTGCTCTGAGGAAGTGCCACCGGACTCTATCTCAGCTGCTATCCAGGCCATTGCAGTACAGAAAGACACCTGCTACATGGACACTCAGCTGCAGCAATGTCAGTGACAGCAGAAGGTGAGCCAGCAGCAGCAACATTCACACCCATACCAAAAGGACAGCTTAGTGAAGCGTAAAAGTTTGATCCTGTTATAAGCCCTGTATTACAGTGTAAACAGACAGACT